ATGTCTATCAAATCAGTTACATGTAAAGCAACAAGGATTAACAGAGGGTAATAAATCCATTAGAAACCACAAATGATTCTGTCTTCAGTGAAGAATACACTACTGAAAAAGTACTTATCCATTAGGCAAGGTGACAAGCCCCAAAATAAAATAGCCTGCTGGTATATTCACAATTCACGTGTTTACAAATAGTGAGTCAGGACTCAAATTGCCAAAAAAATAGACTTTAATAAAATGGAAGATTTAAGGTTTTTCTTATTTGATTTCTAAGAGTGTTAGCATTTGATGCCCCCATTGTTAAGCTTTGCTGTATAACAATAAGAATTACAAATCTTTTTCCAAGATCACTGGAGATTATCAAGAAATACCCTGGTGCCCACAGCAAGAGCTCTGAGTCAAGTATGAAGTATCACAAAAACTAGTGGTAACACTGAGGAAGTCACAATGTTATCCTTTCTCTCTTTTCTTTCAGAAAAGGATCTGGGCATCCTGGTAAACAACAAGTTGAACATAGGCCCGTAATGCACCCATGCAACACAGGCAGCCAACAGCCTCCTGGGCTGCACTAGGAAGAGCATTGCCAGCAGGTGGAGGGAGATGATCCTTCACTCCTACTCAGCGCTGATGAAACATCTGGAGTATTGGGTCCAGTTCTGGGTTCCCCAATTCAAAAGAAACATGGACATACTGGAGTGAGTCCAGCAACAGGCCACAAAGATGACTAAGGGATTGGAGCACCTGTCATAGGCTGAGAGAGCTGGGACTGTTTAGCTTCAAGAAGAGAAGTTTCAGGAGGGATCTTATCAATGTGTATAAATACTTTATGAGAAGTATAGATGGCACCAGACTCTTCAGTGGTATCCAGTGAAAGGAGAAGAGGCAATGGGTACAAATTGAAATACAGGAAATTTACAATTAAGAAAAAACTTTTTCCTTGCAAGGGTGGTCAAACACAGGCACAGGTTGCTCAAAGAGGTTGTGGAGTCTTCTTCCTTACGATATTCAAAATCCAGCTGGACATGGCCCTGAGCAACCCGCTGTAGTTAACACTGCTTTGAGCAGAGGATTGGACTAGTAGGTCTCCTGAGGCACCTTCCAACCGCAACTATTCTGTGATTCATTGTTCTTCGCTGTCTAAAACAGAACTCAATTTTTTCACCTTCCTGTCTGAAAGCAAATCTGTACTGAGCTTTCCCTCCAAATTCCTTAACACCTGACCGGTTCTACTACTGCTGGATATGACTTAAATAGGTTAGAAATAAGAAGAAAAATGGCTTTTTCAAAGGAAACATATGTGAAAACTTTGGCAACTGCAGGAGGGAGAGGATGTAAAGGCTGTTCTCTAAGGGATGTATTTAAAAAACACACACATAACAGAGTCCAAAGACTCATTAACCCCAGACTGTAGGTGAGAGACACATTTTTAGCAGAAAAGCAGAGTCAAAAGAGGCCAACTAGATAGCAACAAACTTATTCTAAGGTCCATTGGGTTAAGGAGAGCAGTAAAGCTACAAAGTTCTACCTGTTTTGTCCTCCTGAAGGCTCCCTTTAGAGCCTGGCCAAACTTTGTTCTAGAACTGGAGGGGGGTATTTTGAGATCTGGGCTTTCCTATGAGAGAGGAACATTTAAAAAAAACAAAAAAATCAGTTCTTTACCTGAGATTACACAGCATGATATATCATGTTTGTGTCATCTCTGCCTTCAATTCGACAAACTACCACAAATTGCATCACAGATCAACATATACCATTTGATCATAAGCCACAAAGGGTTCAGTTCTGTCAAGGTTTCAATCACAGTTGAAGAGCAGACATCCTGAAGATTTGTGAGCATGGCATGCATAGAGCCTGCATTCTGATTCAGTCAAAACTAATTAGACCTTTCAAGCAACCTCTTTCTACTCCTGTGTATACAACACTCGTGGAAACATTTGTCTCCTTCTTTCCCTGACAGAGTGACGAGGTCATGGAAAACTAATGTTCCTCAAGGTTCTTCAAGTGGCTGCACCGCACTGGCTTGGAATAAAAGAAAATATTGAAAACTCTACTGAGAGGAGTTCCAGCAGCCTTGACAGAGGGGCATTGTGTCAGAAAAGAAGTCCACCAGTGTGTTTATAATTGTAATATTCAAGACATACTAGAGCTTTAAAATAAAAGGTAATCTCCTCTTTAAAAGGAAGAAATGCTCCCTCTTGGATCACAGTATAGATGCCACCCTGCAAACTACTACCTCCCCATCTGCTACGGAGTCTTCATAGCAATATTCAGCCGATGTCAGCAGTCCCAGCTTAAGGACCATTTTACCATTTCCTATGAATGAGGGAAGGTGTCTTTTCTGAGGATGTCTGAGGTCTGTAAAGGAGTGAGGAGCTACTGTTCCTCAACACCTTTCTCCGGGAGTGAACTGTGTGAGGAAATCACTACAAAGTAGGTAGGATTGTTTTCTCCCTTTCTCCCTCTTTGCACAGAATAAAGGTGATCAAAGCCACATGATTTCTTTTTACACTTCATATACCTAGTTTCCAGCTCCCCAGAGACAAACTCAATAGCAAGAATATATTGTGAACCCTTGATTGGTTCAGTGCTATTTGGACTGATGCATCCAAAACTAAAAAGAAGACCTGGCCAAATGAATTTTTGATAAATAATTCAATCAGGTGTAGAGAGCCAAGTGCCATTTCTTCAGTGGGCTACACGATGCCGGAAGTCACAGTTCTTTCTCAGTGCTTGAGACTCCATAATTAGCATAGCCCTACAGCGAGGACTATCATTTTACATTAAAAATTCCATCATTTGGGAATTAAAACTGCAGATTATTTTGTGAAGCATGGCCAAGATAAATCTTATTATTTAAAACAATTCTTTACAAGTATTGACAAATGTAATAAAATTTCAAACATGAAAGGAAAACGGAAATTTTTACATTTCAATTCCAGCATTGTAAAGGAAACTCTTTCATGCTTAAAATTCAAACTCAGCGAGTCAAGTAATTTCACTGTTACAGACTTGAATTACCTGCACTAGCCTGAGGGCATTATTCACTCTCTGAGAAAAATTGTACTTTAATATTGCTATGATTTTCCCAAGTAATTTTTATGCAGAAGCCGGGATGAATTTGAAATATCCACTTCAAGATTGAAGTGACGACATTTGGTGACTGCAGAGAACCATGTAATTGAGAACTGGGCTGAGGGATGTGCCCAAAATTAAATATGGGAATGAGAAAACAATATTAATAAAAGGACCAATGTTTTGCTTTCTTTGCTTAACTTCTGGGATGTGGGTATTAAATAGGGTTATAAAATACAAATAAGCCCTTACTTCAAAAACGTTTAAATGCATACACTACATTGAATGCTTATGCTATATGGAAAGACCATGAAATTGTTGGCCACTGTCCCAGCCCATTTAATAATTTCTGTCACATGCAGGAGGAAAGATAATCTTCCCACTCAGTTTTAATGGATCAATTTTTGGAAGCACTGAATTATTAATCTCTTTTAGGGGTTATCTGCTGCCTGATCATTTGTTAACTTCACATGAAGTTGGGGGCTGGATCCCGAGCATGCTCTGAAGAGGCTTAATTCCACAACAGAGCCTGAAGTGAACTAAGGAGTTCCATCATTGACCCAGATAGGGCAAGAATTTAATGTACAAATAAATGTCCTTACCCAAAAGTGTGTATCAAAAACTTTTCAGCAGCATGCTTCCAGGTGAAACTCTGGATGAATTGGTTCTCTTGTGAGCATATGGCTTTGAAGAAATGTGCAGACAGAAAAACTGATGCTTTTATATAATGAATTCTACCATTAAAATAGGGTAATGGGGAGTACCCAATGTTTTTATTATTTAAATAAAGTTTATTGTAGGATAGTAGATGAAAAATTTTACTACGTTAAAAAGTAGTAGGACTTATTAAAGAAAGCAAGTGAACAGATTCATTCTTTTCTTGAAGACTTCCCAGATTAGCTGTCTTACTATTTGTATCAAGGTGGGGACACTTCATTATAAAATCCACCATAAATGTTGGTGTCTTGACTCACTACTTTTAAGGTAACTATTTGTCTTGATAGCAAATTTTCTTTAACTCTCTAAGAATCTCATTACCAGGTTTTTCATTGATTAACTAAGTATAATGAGGTTTAGGAGTAACTTGAGCATTGAGGGAATTTATCTTGTAACTGATAGAGGCTAGGGCAACATGACATGGGAAGTTTTAACAACTGAAGTGAGGATAATGCAGGTTCACATGTGTATTAGCTCTTATGCATTGAATCCAACGTCATCCTTAAATTCTTGCTCTGTGAGCCAATGAAGGCTGAAAACATCACTGAGGACAAGAAGAAGCAACTACTTTGATGAATGAAATGTGAAAAATTAGCCTCCTGTATCTGCACTAGTTTTGCCCAAGATACAGTCTTGTTGGGAAAAAACAGCATTGTAAAGCAGGGAGAAGGGATCCAAAAGAAAAAAAAAGGCCTCCTTTGAGAATTAAAGACCTCTTTCCAGAACTACTACCCTGCTTTTTAACAGATAACACTAGAAAGATTCACCAATGACTGCTCTTCTAACAACTCGGTAAGAAATCAACCAGTGAACCTCAGTAAGTGGCAAAATCTACCACATAACCTAGGTATACTATGCTGTTGCTCACTGCAGTAGGAGAAATTTAAAGCTACAAGGAGTAACTCTGATCTAACTGTGCGTGATCCACTGTTTACTGAAGTCAATACAAATATTTCAATTCAGTAAATCACGTATTAGATTCCAGCCACTAAAGAACCTAATAGTAATCAAACTATTCCAGCCACTAAAGAACCAAGAGTAATCAAACTATTATACCACAGGATAAAATAAAACAGTACAGTGTCAAAATTTACAATTGTGACAATATATCATGACATTAGCTGAAATGAACTCAGTGCGTTTTCTCCTTTAGCTAAATCTTTCCTGCGAAAATTATTTCAATGTTTTGATTTTTCTGCTAAGCTTTTACTTACCTGAATAAAGATTTATTTTTGTTGTTCTTCCTCTTCTGCTACTGAAATGCAGCCCTGATGACTCTATCGCTAAGTGGCTGAGTTGGTCTGAAGTTATCTCCCAGGATTCCATCACAGCCCTCTAAAAGTTCTGCACCTTTAACATGTGTCCTCAGTCTACGAAATTCCTCTATCTGAAAGGCAGAAAAACAGACATGAAGAAGCTGAGATACATTCTTCACTGTGGGACTAATGATCAAAATCAGCCTTGCCCAGCCACTTGTGCAGCTTTGAAACTTGCAGTGTTCAGGTACCATATACTAAGGTCAATATACACCATCAATAACATTTTTAAATAGTTGTCAGCACTGTCAAAACATTTAACATATAGAGAAAAATAAGAGCTTTTATGCACATGATTTGGCAAACTTATCCCTTGCTTTTTTGTAACTTCTTTTGGGATCTATAACCTTCTTAGCCATTCTAGATTACACCCTATGAATCAACCTCACAGTTGTGACATGAGAGTAATCATTCTGGTCTTCTTCAAAAAAGTGCATTTCAGGAATAACTTGGTCGACTATAAATTGTTTTGAATTTTTTCCAGTGATTTATTTATTGCCTGAAATTGTTGGTTCATTTAAATAAAAATTATTTTCTAAACCAGGAACATTCTGAACAGACTCTCAGCTTTAGAGGAAGTCTGTTGACATTTTATATGGAAAAATATGTTTTTTCACATCAAAACAAAATACCACTTCAAAATTTCTGTAGATGTAGGTGCTAAGTGTACTTAGAAAATCCAATACAGTCAAAAATCAATATAAAACATTTCAATTGGTCCAAAACAAATATGTTTTCGGTTTATAGACTCTTTTTAGATTTTTCTAAATCTAACTGATGTAGGGAAGAATGTGACCAGCTTCCATCTCCATCCCTGGTATCAGCATCAAGCTCTGTGGGATAAAAAACTAATAAAATCAATGCATATCTCAGCAACATTATACCTTATTGTTCAACAGTGCTGTTTTTAAGAGTCTGATATTTTAAACAAGTAGTTACAACTACTAAAAAAAATTGTGTTTGTTTTTGCTTTGGCATATTGACAAGCTATCTTAGCTGGATACAGCAAACCTATTTGAAGGCTGACTCCCCGAGCCTGAGCCTTTGTACTTGTACTGACCCTGTGATGCCTCACTACCCAGCTCAGCTGTAACTTGAAACTGAAGCTACACAGAAAGCAAAATGGAGCCTGAAGTATTTAATCATTTTATCATCTAGGAAATTATAGAGAGTTAATTTCTCCATGAAAAACACCCTATGAGGGATTACAGGGAGAATGCAAGTGTGATTCCAGAATTAAAAGAAATGAGGTACTAAACAGCAGGTAATGGCATTTCTATTCTTACATTGCCTGCAGAGAATACTTTCTTACTGCAACCTTGAAGACAACTGCCTTCATTGTTGTTTTCCACTCTACAGCAGAATTGATACAGACTTACTTACTTGATTTAGAGACTAGCTCTGCTCGGCTGTATTCTCCTCAAAAAACAGCGTGCTTAGAAATCAACACTCAGCTTCTTGCAGCTGAGGTATAAGGCAACAGCTTAGACTGAAAAGATGAAAAGCAGAACAAACTGTAAAGCTCCTTGAAGGTGCTTTTAGAGGCAGAACTCTGTTTTGGAAGATTGTTTGTTTGTTTGTTTGTTTAAAGCAAACTGAAAACAAACCCACTACAGGCTTGGAACTGGAAAAGTCTTCAGGAGTCAAGTGCTGGTAAATCGCTGAATGGGTTTTGTAAAGGTACCTTCTTTCACCACCTGAATCAACTCCGGAAAGTCTGAAATAATTGTCGTTTAGGAAGGAGCATTTTACAAGAATTTGGCTTTTGTTTGATCTTTTGAGAATGAGAGACTTCAAACAAACACAGATGAAGGAGAGGGAAGAGCAGACTCTCTGCAAAGCTGACATTTGTGAGCTGTCTCCTACAACAACTACAAATGCTCTGCCCCAATCCCCACAGTGAAATCTTTCTCCAGGAGGTACTCCTCACAAAGCAGCTTCCAGTTTCTTCAGTCAGGAAAGCAGGACTGACCTGATCCCCGTGCCTGTTCTTTAGTCTTCAGGAAATGGTTCAGACTCCCGTGACAGAGACCCTCTATATACATGGTGGTCTGCCTCACTCTTGAGAAGTAGTTGTCAGAAAAGGACACTAGCTGTGCTGACGTTACTTTTCATATTAAATTTCCATGCGATAAGGCAATAATATGTGTGCCCTGCTTCCTCTAATATGGAACCATTTACTATCTCCTCCCAACCTCTCACAAGTCATTGCTGTGAAGTACACCCTGTAGCACTGCCAAGGAAATAGATATTTTAGAGGCGTACGGCTAAGCATCCTTGGATATTCACACACTTTCAACAGGAATAGCCATTTATAAAAGTTTTTCTCATGCCCAGAAGACACTAAGGATGACCCAAGCCTGTTCACACCAAAATTTAGGATCCAATTCTAATCAGTGAAAGGGTAAATACATAATGTTAGCATTTCTACTGAGTAAAAACAAAGTTACTTTATATTTTGTAGAATTTTGCAAGAATGTTTTTACCACTTCCCTGTATTCAGATCCTGAATACTGCCTTCTTCTGTTTCACTTAAAAATTTGCTGAAGAATAGAACACACAAAACAAAGGACTCGCATGTTTTCTCTACAAACATTGCTTCTATATGAGGAATAGAAGCATTACCTTTCTGTTTGAAAATTTCACATGCCTCCATGACACCTCCCAAGAACACAGACCTGTTTCCCAGTGAACAGAATATCGTGAACCTCTCAGAGTGCTTTATTTCACAAACTACATAAATTTTGCACAATTCCCAGTCCAGCTCCATATGCTTGTTACTATTTCTGTCCTTTAGGAGGTCTTGATTTTGAATGAGGTAGACAAAAGGACTAGAGACCTCACCATTCAATACAAATCCAGTTAACTCTGACAATGAGTACAGAAGAATGACAGCTCCTTGCTGCATCATTGTTTAAAATCCCTACTCTGAGTGGCTTAGACAATGTACTTATTCTGGGCTTCAGTGAACCACAAAGCACATTATTCACCAATGTCTTATTTTTAAAAAATATAGGAGAGAGAAGCACGAGCAAGTCTTTTTCAATTATTTCTGCTCTTCACTGGCCTAATAGGAGGGAGTTTTCTATTTTTCCCCATTGCATTTCAGCAGTGTACATGCATGGGTGAGGTGTCTCAGAAAAGCAGTCAACACAGTTCTTTCTGGGCTGTGTATTTCAACATAAGACAAGTGAGGATGATAAAAACCACAAAAGGAGGGCAGGAATATGCAAAAAGAGCACTGCAGGGAGCAGCTTTCCAGACAAGCTCCCTTCCACTGAGGTCAGTAATAAAACTCCCAAGAACCGGATTTGCAAAGCCCTTATTCTCCAGGGGAGAAGAGTCACCTGCACACTTTATCCAGACCTCACACAACCACCCATGAAGGAAATGGCTCTCTGATGGAAGTCAAGCCTCATGTCAAAGAAAATGACTTCCAGTGAGGAAACAGCATTGGACTCCACGAAAGCACATCCTGACGCTGCAGTCCTGGCTTGCTCTTTTGCTATTCATATAGTCAACACACTCAGATCCCAGCTGCTGAAGTGAGGTGCATATGGAGAGATGAATCTCCCTTCACTTAACATTGACTTAAATCAGTAGCAAATCAACTCTTACTATCTATAAATGTCTTCAGGAGAAACAGAAAAAGGTTCTCTACTTTGCAATGGTCAGCCTATTATGCCTATGCCAAAATAGTTACTTTTCCACTGTTTCAAAATAAGCAAATGTGAAAATATATAAATATGTCCATGAACTAGAATTTCAATTTTATTCATTTTTTCCCTTTATGATCCACAGTTTGTTAAGCTAATCAATATTGCTATGTTAATTACAGAAAATAAGAATGTGAATGAGTATCTTGTTTCCAAGATATTAACCAGCTTCATCAGAGAAAGGCCATAAAACCTATTCCACATCAGACTGTGTCGTTTTTTATTGTTACTTGTTATTGACACTCAGAAGTTGATTATTTTATGGCCTGAAAAATGAAAATAGAAAGCCTTGAATTTGTCTCTTACTGGCTTAATCACAGATGCTACTAGTATTTATATAAATCGCTTGAAGTTTCATAAGCTGTGTTCATTAGTATCCCACAGAAGAAAGTTCTACAAGTTAATGACACATGTAAAAGTAATGTATTTAAATCCATTAGAAATGCATTTTCACTGATATCTATGCTTCAATACTACAAGCAGGCTTAATAAAATTAAATGCCTTTACCAGCCTTCCATGGATGATTCAGAATGGTATATGCTGTACTACATCCTCTTATTTTCCATAGACAAAAGCCCTGGCATTTCTAATCTCTCCTTAAACGGAACCTCTCATAGGCACTCATGCCCACATGCACAAAAGAGGGCAGATACTTAATTGCAGCAAAAAAGCTAATTACAAGTTAAAAACTTGGATGCCTAGGATATAGCAAAATACTCTGGCACCCCCAAAATCTTATTTTGGGCATCCTGGAGAACTCTCAGTCCCTTTTGATTTTAGAATCCCAGAATTACCGTCTCTCACTTACTTGTCCCCATATTTATTTTCAGTTGACATCTGAAAGCAGTACCTGATGCAAGTAAAATTTTTATCCCATCTTGGCAAAAGTCCTTCATGTTCTCAATAAGTCTTTTCTGCACAACCTTGACTTTAATGCTGCTGCACTCATAACCAGCAGTGAAGATTTTTTTTCTAACTGATGCTGATCTACGACAAATACAAAGTATTGTGGATCATCCTGTCTGCTCCAGTGCCACGTCTCACCTGCATGCTGTGTCAGTAGCAGGGAAAAAGCCCCTCCATGACTTGTACACCCTTCATCACTGCAGTGTTCTTGTTGGATTGGGTTTATACCGATCAAAGTAATGCAGCAACACAAACCAGCTACCCTTCACCTAAAGAAGGCCATGGTTATGAATCACACTCTTTTCCCCAGGCACAATATTCTTTTCTGGAGACTTATCCCCTTCACACCACGTTCCAACATTTTGTTTTCTTGTAGTAAATGAGCACATAATAATATTAACTAAAGTGGTATTTCTCTGCTTAATTCCTCTTTCATTCACCCCCTCGCCGACTCCAACCACATGTGGATGGCTTGAACTATGCCCTCCTCTGTGCATTGACTGCATTAAAAGGGAATAGAAACAACAAAATCTGCAACTAGCATGAAATAAAATATGATACAATGTCTCAGTGTAATAGCTATGGTCTTTATACTTCTGATTAAGTCCTCTTATTTATCCATATCATATCTGGACAATTAGCTGCCAAGTTGCAAAATGCACTCTGTCTTTAAAAGTTATTCTGAATCTAATAATGCCAACAGAGTTCTGTTTCCATTTACTCAGCAGCCATAAGACTTATCCTTTCATAAGCAAATAAATATCAGATTCACGATGGGATACATTTCAGTTGCAGCTACCATACAAATAAGCTTATTGGGAGCTATTGCTTTTATCCTATGATTAGAACTAGAATTCAGTTTTCATATGAAAACAAACACTGCCAATTTCAAATTGTTAAAATTGTTAAAATATTGTGCAGGGTTTCATAGCAAAATTTTAGATTGTTAAAGCCAAAATAATTTAAATGTGAATTTATCACCTTCTATACTTTTTTCTCTTCTGTTTGCACATGCTTCAGAGCAGGCAATGAAAATTAATGCATTCACCTTCAGGGATACTAGATAGTTTCACTTAAATGAAACCCACATTCCTTCAGTGAGGATTCACAGGCTGTGGGAGAATATTCATCAGGAGTTTTCATTGTTTTTACTGGGATTATTTGTAGACAGATTTGATATGTTTTCTATAGAAAGGCTTACATGACTGTTAGATATAAATTTTTAAAAAAACAACTTTAAAATACATATTTGTGAAATCAAATTTAAATAGGTAGTTTCCATTTGACATTTATTATAAAACAGAATTAAAAAAGAGCAAGATAAGTTAAATATAGTTCAATGCAATATAGCTAGCCTGTACTATGTTAACATTTTTCATCCTCCAGGACATAGTGTCTCCCTGTGCTTCTTTGTTCCTTTAACATCAAAAAGCAGTGATATTTGAAAGCTTACAATTACAAAGAATTGAATTTCTTTTGCCCATTGAATTCTTTCTTTCTTTTTCTTTCACTTAAATAAAGAATTATTTTAAATGCAGATGATAAATGATAACAAGGTTTTTCATCTCTGACCTTTGCATTGCTTTCAGTGACTCAAAAGGCTTAACCTTTACTTGAAAAGCCGTGTACTGATCTAATGGGATCTTCAAGGAGAACAGATATAATGCCCTGATATATATATTTGCACGCTATAACCTTTAGCTTATAACCATATTCCAAGGTCACTTTAAGCACAGCTGTTACCTGCACTTGGGACACAGTCAAAGGATAGCGAAATAATATCCAGGTGACACCTTCACTGCAGGGTGGAATGGTTAGAGAGCCCTCATACACCCAGTAGTCACGCAGTAGAGGATCTGAAATTAAAAGAAATGTGGAATTTTAATGACATTAAGGAAGAGAATTGTGTCTTTCCAATTATGACAGCTTATGACAGCCATGGGCTTCTTCATATCATTAAGTTAGTATGCAGTAAGTTAAGGTATGAATTTATATCCCGCCAAGCACTGTCCACTACTTTCTCATGTGAACGTACATGAGCTTGTGGTCATTATATAATACAGTAACTCCCCCTTGCAGATCAGTATTTTAAAGATGAAAATGCCACTTCATAGATGTGAAAAATAACATGTGCACTAACACAGCAATTAAATAATATAGTGGGAAATAACTCCTGTTAGTGTCAAAAGCTACAAGAGACATTCTATTTTGAAGGCAGAGGGGCTGTGGTGATCAAATTTTAACTGACTTCTACATTTAGGATATGTGTCAAGGATGAATGTATTTCATTTTTTAGAAAAATTCAGTGAAAATAGCTCAAGCCAAACTTTTCAGTTCACAATTCCGGTGACATATTTTTTGAGATGCACTGGTGTCACCTAGCTTTGGAAAAGTGAGTTGAATTTCACAGGGGAAAAAATCAAGGTTTATTTAAGAATAAACTTATTTTAACAAGTTTATAAACTTATTAGTAGGTTTATAAATAACTATTAGAATAAACAGTTGTCTCTCAAGAAAACATACAATTGTTTGTCCAGAGTTTTAAGTCTACATACATGTTTGATTTTAATTATTTTAATTTTAATTCCCCAGAGATTCCGGTCACACCACACTTCATAAGTGAGACTACACAAGACTGCCCTTTGCTGCTGTAGGCTATACTCACAAATTACTCCCTGACACAGCTTAAGAAGTAGGTACGTATAGGAAACTGCCTCACTGTAAAAGAGGGGACAAGAAACAAACCTTGAGAGGAACTGGAGACAAAGGCTGGTTAATCATGGCATGGAGAGCTACAGAGAAGGTTGTGACTAGCTTGACAAGGACAGGATGGGAGGTTGGAAACTGGAATGAGCTTGCTTGGTTGATCTAACTTGTTACTGCCATTTCACTACTAGCTCAGAGGAGTATCAGTAGAATTAAATCTTGCTAATGAAGCCTGTGATTGTCAATGAATGTATTTTGTTTTGTTGGTGTAATTTTCTTTCTCAGTTAGGGAATTACATAGCAAATCCATTGAAAGCAAGTTGCATTGTCAAACACTCAAAAGTTAAGAACTGCAAGAATTAGTTCAGCCCATCCTGTGCATGCATTGTGACACCGTCTTGTTACATGATCACATATGTCTTTTCTAGAGAACCTTTTATCATTTACTTGCAAAGATGGATGATTTTCTTTTGAAAAGCATCTAATAACATTGGGATTTCTTAGTACAACATGTGGTCCTTGGTCTTCTTTTTCCCATGCTATTCAAATCCTGCTTATTAAAAGGACCACATTTTCTCATTTTTCGTATTTCTAATGCACTCATTTCTTCAGTGTCTGAGTGCTTCACAAACATGAATTAATTTATCCTTCCAACACCCCAGTGTGGTGAGGAAGGACAGATTACCCCACACTTTAAAGCTGGGGAACTGAGGCACAGAGAAGTTAAGGTCAAATGCATCTGTTCGTTTGAGGTGTTCAATATGCGATGCTTAGAACCTGATTTCTCAGAGTAGTTAACTTTCTATAGCACTTAATGCAGTCAGAGCACTGCTCCCATTGACTTCAGTTGGAGGTGTAAGCACTCAGCACTTCTGCAAATCAGACCCCATGATCTCAAGTCGGGCACCTAGAAAATGAGGAACACATAGTTAGAGATGACTTATGAAAATTTTGGTTTATGTGACTTGATCAGCATCAAACAGGAACTGTGAGGCAACGGTCCTGTAAAAAATAACTTATGGTCACGCAATTAAAAGATGTTTTACAATGCATATGCATGAAGGGGCACAGGCAGCCTTAATTCCTGCAATTCCTAATTGCTGAGCACTTGACTTCGCAACCTAAAGAATATTCTTTTGGTATAATCAATATAGTTTAACGTAGACCTGGATTACCTTGGAAAATTAAAGATCTTGCCACTATGACATGGAATTTAGCTCAAAAGGATTCCTTGCAGAAACATTCGTCTTGTAGAAACGCATTTTTTAAAAAGTCACGTTTTCTTTCAAGACAAGGCAGAGGAAGTGGTTGTTTCTTACTGTTACTCTTTAACTTCTAGCTATATGAATTTGAATTTGCCTCCCATTGTCACTACTCCTGTATGCTATACAACTGTCATTGCATTATAGCATTGTCTTTTGATGCTGCCAAAAAGCTACCTTGGTAAGTGGGTAACTACGCTTTCTATTTTATGCCGAAATAGAGAAAGGACTACACACAGCTCCCCCTCTAGGTGGGATGATAAATCATCAAGAAAGCTAGCCACAGTGTCGCCAGCAGTGCACGGACTACAGTATTACATCCCACTCACACAACAAAGGTGCGGATTTATCATAAGCTCCAAAGGGATTTCATCCCTATCCCTGTTAGCACCACTAGGTGCAAAATGCATCACCACCTTATGGGACACACTCTCAGGCTTGCAGTTAGGCTATGCTTTAGATCAAGATTGTCTCTGCCTCTGCAATTAGCTAGTAATCCACCCACACAAAAGTAAGCAAAGGCACCTACCTGGCAATAAAGAGTTGGGATTAAAACAGGGTATTGTTTTGGACTTTCCCTGAAAAAATGAATACAAATCAATCTCATCTCTAGTTTCTTATTAAAATGATGATGAATGGAGAGGTAAAACACACTGTGTGTTCTTATAACATTAAGCCTTGAATTCCTGTGCAAAGCAACCTCATTAATAGCCCCCATTTAATCATCATTGCACTTGTCCTTGCAGCTACACAAACACTTTTTTTTATTCTATTTTATATTTTACTTCTAAGGTTATCTCGGCAATTTGTTAACTTTCTGCCTTTAGTACCTGGGCTCCTTCCAGATCCTAGCCTTGAAATTCTCTACGTGAAATTCAGAGGTTCCATACAAAATGAGTTGAAAAAACAAGGGCCAAAGTGAGCTTTTCCTTGACCAACATGGATAACACTTAATAAAATAAAGCTGGTTTCACATATTTAATGCAAGAAAATTTTATGTATGCAAAAAGTATGTTTGATGCTGACCCCCTGAAAGTCATTAAGTATAACAACACGCTCACAATGACAAGGTCTTTCATGACCTTCCTCTACTTGGCTGTCCTTTCAGTAATGAAACTACAGAGTTCATACACTATTGTTTTCTCTGACACCTTCATAAACAATGAGTTTGTAATATTAAACATCATGACTGAAGCTTACCATATATTATTTGATTAAAAGAAGATTTTCAACTCCCTTCCAACAACAGCTTCTAATTTTTCTACACTTTAGCATCCACTGAAGTGAATGGCTAATCTCTCCGGACCAACACAGAACGCCTCATTAATACGTCTCAAAATCCTTTAAAATCAAAGGTAAGTATGATTATTTCTATTTTACAGACAGAGACCAAAAAGCAGAGAGATGGAAGTAACTTGCCCAAGGTCATTTAAGATAGCATCAACATTCTGGAGAGCACTCATATCTCCTCAGTCCTGCTAGGCTTATTATCTGTCCTTCAGGATCCCCACACATAATCCACCTGACAAGACGGCATTGTGTTTTTGCTGATTTCCCACTGCAAGTTAATATGGGTGCTCAGTTCATCTATTCTTTTCCTCTACAAATTAAAACCAGAAAAGTTTGGAGATGCTGCTGCTGCTGGTGTTCACTAAGCATGTTGCAGTGCTTGCATTCACACTGACTTCATGATAATCACTGAAAAGGTAGTACTTGCAATCAGTAACTGGTATAGAAGATCAAACCTTCTGGCCATCAGAAAATGAAATAACTATGAAGACTGTGTATTGTCCAAAAGTACTGTAAAATGCTGAGCTTCTGATGCAGGCCACCAAACTATGGCTTTCACACGTGCTTTTACGACAGACTCATCTGAAACCTTCACTTGGCTTTAGTGTTTCATATATACCCTTCGCTCTCTCACTCTCTCTCTGGTCAGTGAAGGAAGCATTTCTTCAGACAATGCCTTACCTTGTACTGAATGTCCTGGAGAATTTCAGTTACAGCCTTTAGGCCTACATGCTCTTTTCCTATCTGAAATACAGCAAGCAAAGATGAGTTTCAGTACTTTGCTATTTCTGAAACTGTGAGGCAAGACAGAGGTCAACGAGAACAGTAAGTTCCGTAGCTGTTTTCAATTAAGCTACACAACCTTGTGTTAACCAAATACACTGACACAGGGCAACTCCAAACAATTAAATCACCATAAAGTCACCAGTCAAAAGTAAACAAGGTGTAAATAACTTGAAAGCAGAGACAGAAACTCACAGAACAAGAGAAAGAGTCACAGTTAAGTCTGGTAAGTTTTGACTAACCCTGTTTTGCAGCATATACTGCATGTGGAGTCAAAATCATGCAGCATTATGGCATATAAATGCCAAGGATACAGTTTGTCCTTACCAGTTTTTGTCAGAAAAGTACACAGAAAGGAACAGAGTGAACAAACACGACAGACACTTTTTTAATTTGTTCCCACAGCGTTGCAAATCTGGCCTAAGGTATCTTTGAAGCTTGGGGGAGTTTTTTCCTGCCTGCAGAGCACAGAATGGCAGATCTCCTCCCCCACGGCATCCCTGGGATCCTGTTCCCAGCAACCTGCAGCACTGCCTTTACCTTAAGGCATAGAAGATGGGGCTTTCAAAAGAAACCCGTTCTTGAAACAAGCTATTCTTATTTTGTATGAATGTCATTCACCCTATATGCTGATTTCAGCTGCTTCTGATCTAAATCATCCATCCTAGGACCCTAGCTTTTACCTTCAGAACATTGGCAAAATAGGAAGACTCAGAATGGCCTTCCACTTGATTTTTTTGCCAACATGTGCACATAAGAGGTGAGGAATGAAGTGGGCATGAGTGAGAACGGGAGAGCTGGACCCTGAAAAATTTGTTTGCTTTTTGTTTCTCTTGGAATAGAATGCCACAATAGTCACCGGAAGAAAACAATTGAATGTCAACAATAGGTGGTTTGCCATTTCTAGGAATTTAAGAGGATTTTCTTTTGTTTCAGAATGGCACTTCCATTTAAAACCTTCTAAGTTGGTAAAAGATATTGAAATCACTTCAAAGATGCTGTTTCTAAATTCATGATCACCAAGGGCTGTCAAATCAGTGAAAATATTTTCATTGACCTTAAAATGATGTGTTTGAGAACTGTGGTGCAAAACTATTACATTTCCATGCCTTTAACGGAGAAAATGGTCCACTAATTTCCTCTCTCTGTTCCTTTAATAAGCAGCATAAATACTATTTTTCCTTGGTCAAAATTGTAATTATATGATGCCTTTCTTGGCTAATGAAAAAGCTCTTTGGAATGCTTAAGAACTCTGATGAAGGTGAGAGACCAGAAATGGAAAATGTATCACTGAAGTTTCAGATTTATTTAAGAACTTATATATAACTTTCTAACTCGAAGGTTACCTCTGCTGGAATTAGAAGGTGACTTACATAAGCAATTATCACACAGCCCTCTAGGATACAAAACTGAAGACTTTCTAACTTCCATTTTTAGCAGTTCTATCTGAGTGTTGGAGCTGTAACCAATGTACCTTTAAATTCAAACAGAGGTAAAGCTCAAAGGCATTGATAAACTCGTTATGGAATACAACAAATTAATAATATCACTGTGAAAGAAAATCTATTTGATCTAAGCATGAACTCTAAACTTCTTCCTCCAAACCCATTTAAATAAAACAGTTTGCCATTTCTCATGAGGAGGATGAGAATCTGGTGCTTGAGGGCTAAAAATGAAAATCTTCTGTATAGAGTGCAGCCCTTGAAAAACCTTCAACAGCAATTAAATTATGGGGCTAACTTCCCAGCTTGCATTACACCTTCTCCCCAGCAAGCTTTAAGCCTCCTCGTCGCAGGCTTTTCTGAGGGTCTGTGGCAAGACTCTTTACACTCTCAGCCTGGTGTCTCTGAAAAAGTATCCTGTGTGGAGAAACACACTTGTCACTGTGTTCAGAAAACACAATCCTACCACCAGTTTTCAGCTGTGCCAATGGGTTAGTAGAGGTTTTTTTTCCTCTTTCCTCCTCTCCTCTGTATATTTCCTCAATCCCTGAACAGCAGGCCTGGCCAGGAATGGAGAAAAACACATTACAGAGGTAGTGAAGCACCTGTACCTCCTGACAGCTCTCATTCTGCCCTCAGAGGAACGGAGAGTGGATGTCTGCTTACAGCCAGAGTCACAGAGACAGATGGCTGACTATGTATTATCCCTTCTTTAACTAACTACTTTCAATACCCTGTTTAAACAAGAATTACTTATTTAGCACATACACAGAAGATATGACTGAGAAGTATCTTTTGAATAGAATACCAGCAGTCATACATTGTTTTATTTTATGAAATCATTAAAAATGAAAGAAAATGGAAAGGAACTTATTTTCCTCAGACAAATGATAGTGCATGATAACAAGTGCAACACAGGAAACTTACCTGCACAAACAAAGCAATAATAGCTATGCCGTGCTTCTTCCCTACCGCCTCATCAATGCTGCTGTACAGTGTGGAGTTCCAGTGCATTAGATGAAGCTAAAACAAAGCAGTGCAAATAGACCAATAGAGAAATATGTTTTGTAATAAAAAAACACCAGCAGTTAACGTCAATTAACAAAGCCTCAGCATGTGTGTGTGCATGCGTGAATATACATATGTGCATGCCTATGGCTGTGCATGTATATATAAGTGGATTGCTATTATAAACATCAGGAATCCCAAGAAAAAAAAGGTCAACTGCAGAGAAAGTGATGTATAGCCAGTTACCAAATATCTACAACAAAGGTGTGAATAACTATGCTAATGATGCTAATGATGATTTACCAACTCCCTCACTTTGAACACTGAAATAATGTCAGCTAATGAAACCCACCAGTGCTGCCTCTCAGCCAGCTAGCTCTCTTCCAAGGCAGGAATATGATTATGGACACAGGCTATCCAAACACAGGTTTGACTGGCTGACTGTACTATCTTAATGTCACTTGTCTCACATATCACCTCCCAAGATGAGTCACTCAAATGTCAGTAGTAAGAGTAGAAGTGATTTCAGGAAAGGTTAAACATAGAGAAAGTCAAGCAGAGAAAAATGGTTGGAGGACCATCTTAGGGACAGCAGTGAAAGGGATGCTAAAGACTAAAACATGAGCCCTCAACTGCTGCCTTCTGCAAGGTAACAGGGCCTGTAGGAGTTAATGCATGAATGCATGTCAGGCAGCAGGCACCGGATGGTAAACATGAAGTTTGTTCTGGTGAGGTGTCACAGCATGACTTGGGAAGTGGTGTTTGAGAAAAGTGCTGGAGGACAGACTAGCAGGCGATTGGAGAGGGAGGACGGAAGGGAGGGGAGGGACGGGAAGGAAGAGGGTGGGAAGGGACATGGGGGAAAGAGAGGAAAGAGAAAAGTGCTGGAAAACAGACTGTCAGTTGGAAAGAGAGAAAGAGAGACAGAGAGAGAAAGGGAGGGAAGGAAGAGGTAAGGAAGGGCAGAAGAAAGGAAGGGTGGAAGGAAGGGCAGAAAGGAGGGAGGGAGGGAAGGAGGGAGGAAGGAAGGGAGGAAGGAAGGAAGGAAGGGAGGCAGGAAGGGAGGGAGGGACGGAGGGAGGTACAGCACTATCTATTGAGAGGTAATATGCACTTCAAACATGAGTTTTTCCAGCACTAATGCTAAAATGTAATCTCTGTGTCTGGGTCTGATAACATTGCAGACCTTCAACATCCTAAGCACAGCTGCTTTGAAGTTTATCTGCCAACAACTTTTGCACATTCCACACAGATAAAACAGCTAAAAAAATACAAACTCTTAGATTTAATTCCTGTTGTAAAATTGTGATCAATGTTTTGCTCAGTCATGTGTCTAAGAAGTTATGCCGCCCTGTATCTAACATTGTTTCTACTTTCAGCAAAATTAGGTTTTAAAACATTTAGTGTCTTCCTATTTTGTGTTTTATTTCTGCCCAGTAATGGCCTCTGTGAAATGCTTATTGCCCCTTACACAGCAGGAGTTCACTTGGGCATTTCAGCATTACAGAAGACCAGTTCCTCAAGTGATCACTCTCCCCTTATTTAATCTCTGATGAGAATTTTGGGCACTCCTCTTGATGATTGTCATTTCAAAAGCCAATACAAAATTTTAAATGAACATATTGTAAATCGAATTAAATTCCAAATTATCATATAAATAATTCTATTCATGCTGATCAAAGGCATCTGCTGCAGCAAAAACATGAAACCTTTTTCTTAAAAAATATAATAGTTCATTTGCACATGAGAACACTAATACAAATGTACTTGCCCAAGGCTACAAAACTAGACATACAAATGCTGCCTGTTAGAACTAAGCTATCTCACTATCGCCGATGGATTTACTTGGTACCATGTATTTTATAATCTATAAAAAGCTTTGGTACACATTTGATTTGCCTTTGGCTTTTAAAGTTACAAAACCACAGGATCAAATAATGAGATTTCAGTCTCTAAAGCTCACTTTAGCAGACACAGAACTACCACCACCCAAGAAGATAAGGTCAAAGCATTGCATTTTCCGAGACGAGCCTGGAGTTTGCATCAGCTATCCACTAGAGGGTGCCCACGGAGTCCCACGATCCTCACCAAAATCCTGACGTTAAGAAGGAAACACGAAAGAAAAAGGTTGGGGTGACTGCAGTCGGAATGGCAATGTCCTTGGTGCGGGGAGAAAAGCGCTGCATGGCACCACGACTCGGTTGGTTGGAAATGTCAAAGCAAGCTTGTCCTTTGGTGGCTGGAACAATAGCGCTGAGAGCGATCGCCAAATGTAAAGAGACTTTGACTGTGTCAACAGGCGGGTCTTGGCTAAAGCTGCTGTGGCATTCAGCAGTGTGTTACGCTCCTTTGGAGGTGAAGTCTAACCTGACATTTGTCTGCATTCTGACAACAGTGGGTTTCTTCTGAAAATTTGAAAGAAAAATGCTGAGCCTCAGCAAGAGGAAAATGAGCAAGCGCTTCAGACCGTACCAGCAATGCCCCCAGTTTATCCAGAAAGAGATTGTTGTCCTGTCTTAGGCAGCAGGCTCATCAGGGCAGAGACTTTCATATGATAAGGCTATATATCAGCTAGAAAAATGACACCAAAACCTCTGTGTAATACTAAAAAACATTAAGAGGTCTAGAATTAGTCCGTGCAGCAGCAGAAGCAGCCTGACAGGAAGACGTGCTACAAAATACGCTCAGCTGCTGCATGAAGGGGGACCGCAGTGCGAAACGCCCTGCAGCTGGAACTGCTTTACAAGGAACATACCTACTGGCCAGCACCTCTTCCCACATCTCCAGGGAACATGGGGAGAGTAAGTTAAGTATTAGCTACGCATTTTAAGAGTATCTTTAGGTCTCTGCATCCCCTCCAGGCCTCCTTCCTTTCCACCAGCTCAACAGAGGTCAGGATGGTCTACTGAAAAAAAAAACTTAATACGAAGACAAAGAAGGGAGGTACTTAAGGCTAATGTAGATACCCCTAGACCCCTATGTTCAGATTTAATAATCAACATTACTAAAGGTACTGAAATAGGCACTCAGCACTTTCTGGTCCAAAGGTTTCTGTAACTTTGAGGTTCTGCTCAAGGATGCTTAAAACACATAGTAGGCTCCTTGGAACAAGAATCATCATTTTGAACTGTGTTGCTAAAGCCCAAGGTAGAACAGACTTCTGGTCTGTGTTTAAGATACTACTGTGTTACTTCCTTAGAGGTGACGATAACTACAGTGGATTAGTAATCTATTTTTTACACAGGGGGTTGTAAAATTGCTGTCATAAACACTGTGGTGCCAAATAGTATCAGCAGGTTCATAAATGGATTAGACAAATTATGGACAAGTCCAAAAACAGACACTAAAGAGAACAGGTAGAGATGCCGCCTCCAGCACTCCTAGTCCCATGACGGTAGATGACTGGGGAGTACAACAAAAAGCGGTCAGGCTCATGCACTCTCCCTATACTGCATCCCTTACTGACACTGCTAGAGACAGAGCACTGGATGGACCCTGGCCTGATCCAGCAGCGTATTTATTGTGTTCCCATGCTCTGAATCAAGGTGATATTCGGAATAGCTATTCACAGAAAAGGTTCTGTCATTAGGGATTTACAAACTGAAATTAGACAAGCAATCTAATGGAAAATAATAATTAATACCATAATATTTCCTAACAACGGGCGAACAGGCCTCACATCTTTTGCTCTAACTCTGATAAGCCCATGCATCCACATTTAAATAAATAAATGGATGTCAACAGGCACTTAAATAAATGGAAGTCAAATCAAATGAATTCTTCTACAGAGCAGGAAAAATGTAAGTAAATGAAAAAGTGATTCAGAAAGGGAAATACTAGCAAGGAAGTAGTAAGGCCTGAGTGTTCGTAACAAAGTGTTGCTTTCAAGTTGTGGTTTATCCTGTGTGTTCGTGTGGCTCTCTGGAGCTGTTCTGCCTTTTGTTTGCTCTTTTTTTATTTGTAATATGACATCAGATGAAAACATCAGATAACAGTTAAAAAAAAAGATAGCAAAAAGTCTACAAACATTACAAAATTTGAACTCTAGAGAGTACAGTCCACAAACAACATGGTCTGTAGCTCTTGTTAATATTTATGGGAATCAGATGTGAACAGAGGAAAGACCTTCAGTTTTACTTTGATTTAAGACAGCTATATAAAAAGTGTATACTCACAAGGGGTGCCAGTCTCCAGTATGAACACAGCCATGTGGGTTTTTTTAAATAATCAGCTGTAGTGTATTGGCAGCTTACCATTGTGTGGTTTTTATTCGGAGTACAAACAAGCTGCACATGTCAGTATGGCAGGAGAGGCTCTGCTCAACTTGTAGCTAATGTTTTGATTCTCGGTAGTTATGATGTTTCTATACAACCAAAATGAGTCAGCTATGCTGTTACCAATTATCAGTGGCTGGCTCAGTGTGCCAGACAGTGCGTTTTTACAAAATAATCGGAAAGCTGTGAGAAACTCCTTAGCACTCAAAAAATACATTTTTTTCTTGGGTAATAAAATAATTTGGAGCCTCTGAACATTCCAGGTGTAAATCAAAGAATTGTATCAGTGACTTCCTTAAAATCAGATGAACTGAAAAATCATAAAGGCAAATGATAATAAAGTGCCGATAAAGTTGATTTGTTCTGTGAACAGCTGGAAAGACTCTCCTTCACAGGAAAGATTAAGTAATTATTCCAGCTAGCAGAGTGAACCCCACAGAAGGATTACTCTGTATGGAACAAATTCTGAGAATCTTCTCAATTTCCATCCAGTCCCCACTCAACCAAAAGACTATTGATCCCAGTCCTGATGTCCTTGCTTAGGAAAAGCTGACACTGACATTGAGAAGGGGCCTATCTCAAATCAAGACTTTTTCAAATCTGAGTAAGGACCTGAGATTCTGGCTTTAAAATCAATAACCAAATTAATATCCTACACTTAAATCCATTCCTTTCTCTACCACAGAAATATCCTTTATGTCAACACAAAAAGAAAAAGCCTGGGATGTTAGATTTTTACACAGAATCAGAGCCCCTGGGATGACAGATTATGGCAAGAATCAGAGTCACACTATATGACCAAGCACATTTATCAGTTCTGGAAGCCAGTTTCCCTCAATTAAAAACAGAGTTACAAAACCACATACATTTTTCCACTGTCTGGGGCACATAAAAACATGTAATGACAGGATAATTTAGGTTCGAAGTCACCTCGGAAGTTCAGCTGCATCCTTCCCCATTCACAGCAGCACCAACTTCAAAGTTAGCTACTAATTCAAAGTCAGATCAGGTTTCTCACGGCCTTGTCCAACTAGGTTTTGCATATCTCCAGCGATGGAGATCCCACAACCTCTCTGGGTAACCTGTTCTGTGATTGACCTCCCCCATAGCGAAGAATTTTTTCTCCTTGTATCTAATCAGAATCTGTCTTGTTGCAACCTATGTCCCTTGCCTCTTGCCCCTTCACACTCCCCAGAAGAGTCTCTGCTCAGGAGCCCAAACACGACCTGCCCATGACCACCAGAATGACGCCTCTTTCTCAGACCGTCTCAGTCATTCACCTATGTGAATGACCAAGTTTCACCTAAGTTTACTTTCACTTAACTTTATCCGACTCTTGCAATGTCAGGAAAGCCACTACTAGCTCTGTAGCTCTACTGCGACATGCTGGTGTGCATCTGTCACCCAAGTGGCAGACCAAACATGAGACAGGCTCATGTTTTACAGGAAAATACACTCTGAAATAAATCACAGATCATCTTTTGTTATGACATATCTGATTAATGGTAAGGAAAGAAGGACTCCGTGCTCAAATGCTTCTGCAACCTTATACAATCTTAATGTTACAAATTGCTATAAACCTGCACAATCTGGAATGACTTGCTACCATAAAAAAGAGTCCATATACTATTACTGCTTTCCTTACAAATACTTATTGCTAAACTACTGGAACCCTCATTTGTTATTGGGACCCCTATAAAACACTGTTCAATGTGCAGTGTTTCCACTGGTTAAGCCAGGCAGTTTGAAACAAAGCACCAAGCCCACACCTCATTGGAGTCAAGGGGAAATGTGCCAACAGCAAAACTCTTCCTGACCTCCTCTGGCACCAGAACTAGGCCCTGGCACTAGAACTAGGCCCTGCAGGGGACTTACGCCTGATAAAACCACCGGCAGCTGAGGCAGCAGGAGGCAACATGAAACACCTGCCCAGCCTGGCTGTAGGTCCTGCCTCAACCTAATTGGCAACCATAGCCCATTTTGCAAGAGGTTGTGACATGGGGAACCCTTCTGTTGAACAGGCTCCCGTTTGTGCTCTACACACAATAGCAGGTCATCATTTTAAAATAATTCCTCTTCAGATCTGCATGTTAAACTGTTAGAAAATCAGACTGTGACACTATCGTCACTAGGCTTGCCTGAATCCATGGTGCTGTTGCAATCGCCCATTGTACTTTTTCCAATCTCTACAGTCTTACTCTTTACTAAGGAGCTAATTTTTACAAAAGCTTCTTTCTTCAATGCATGCTGCATCATGTGTAAATTAATCTTCTGGAAAGTTTTGTTCCTAGAGCTAGGTTATACCGCTATTTCTTGTTAGCTGTGCAACTAGCAATTATAAGCTCCAGAAAAGTCTGCTTAGTCTAGTAATATTTCAGACCAAGAAGGCATCTAAGCATGAGAGATATGTTATTGCTTTCATATCTTCCCAATTCTTATTTCAATTCATATAGGCTGTACCTCGAAAGACTAATAGTTAGGTGAATATTGTATCACTACATCTTAACCAGAGTTGCATCTAAAACATGTTAGTCTGGAAATTTTGAGCATACTGCTTTTTGTCATATTTCTGTCACTGCTGAGAAAGAGAGTGGAGGTGAAACTCTGTTTTGATTCCACATAAACGCCATTTCAGGGATGAAAGCCATTGCCAGAAGGAATGTGGCGACCCAGACGGAGCCCCCACAGAAACATACAGCTGTCCAGGTCTCCGGCTGCAGGGAGTGCCTGAGCCTGTCGCTTG